GGTTTTGTAATGGCAATGTTTGTTCTATCTATAGATTTGAAACATTATATGATTGATTGTTTATGTAATTTAGCAATCATAGAGACGGTGCCTATCTGTTAGATCTTGAGATTTTTTTTGCTTTACTTTTCAGATTGTTAACACAGTTTAGGCAATAGGATCACTACTGGAAGTATATGAGCAGTTGTTTAGCACAGCGCTACAGAATTTGTTGGCTCTATATAAATAATAACATAATAATAATAACAGTTTAGTAGCCAGGGCAGTCTGTGTTAGTACAGGCAATGGCAAGGTTATCAAGGTTAGTATAAGCACAGGACATGATTAAAAAGGATTAGGACAGTTTTATCTACATATCAAAAACCTTGTGGGGTGATTCATATTGCTGGATTAGCTATTGCTCGTTTTAGCAAGCAAACTTCTATGGAAATGTCAAAACGATTTTGTGTTGGGCTAATTACCATGTAGCCATTAGCCTGGATGAAATTTTATAGCACCAGCAATCTAATTTAAATCCAAAAAGCATAACTGCCTCAATAACACGGCCTTCACTTTTAAAGGTCAGAAGCAGCCTCGGATGAAGCAAGACCCGGTAGCAGTGACATACAATCATCTCTCGCTAATACCTTCCTGAGCAGTTAAATGATTATGTCTACCTGGTATTTTCCAGGAGATAGATAACCGTCATTTAAATGTTGAACATTGAAAAGGAACGTAGCATATTTTTATTCCGGTATATAAATCTATCTCTCAGATTGAACTCTCAGATCAAGACCCTTGTACGAAAAAAAGTTAATGGAAAGACCCTTAAGTCCAGGTTCAGCTATATTTTTGTAGGTGCTAAAAACAACGCACTTACAGAAGCAGTAAGAACTGAAACATGTTGCGCATGCACAGGAATTGCAACACAGTCTGATACAAGTATGTCCCATCTAGGCCCCTGCGCTCTGCCGAAGACCTGCATCTATCCTCTGTCCCTACTCCCACCACCGATGCTCGCCTTCAAGACTTCTGTAGGGCTGCACCGTTCCTGTGGAACTCCCTTCCCTTGTCTGTTAGACTCTCACTCAAAAATTATCGAAAACTCACTTTTTCGGGAAAGCACATCAATTAAACTTGTAACAGCTTCCTCTTCACGCACCTTGATTCCTCTCCTGCAACTCTCATTAAAACAAATTACTAAGTCCTCAGTGAATACTATCCTAGCAACCTACTTTTCTACCCTACCCTTAAGATTTATGTCACTATACCCCACTATACCCGCGTTTGGTTTTACCGTGCAGTGCATGATGACTAAAAACATTAAGAATTGATATTTGAAGGTCTATAGGGAAACTGGCTGTCATAGATGTCTATCAGACACTAAAAGCATATTTTTTTCACAAATGTAAATATTCTGGTACTCCTAAATGGCAGGATTTCCCATTGCATTGCCAGTCTATAGTCTGTATCTCCAGTAGATACACACTATTCCGTTCCTGGGGTAGATAATAGTTTTTCTTACTAGTATCCGGACTGGACAATAGGATTTCTGAATTGAAAATATTCATGTAAGAATGTCTATCCCTTCAACTACACTTTGTTACCATACAGCTCTTACAAAGTATATCTACGAATGTCCCTCCACAGTTCCCTTGCTATCAGTTAGTTAGTGTTTAATGAAATGTTTCCACATGGGCCCTGCGTTTTGTCGCTGGTCCGTTTTTGATTGGATTGGAATGCCTGTTAACAGTATGGGACATTCACATGATTTTATGGGATGAATGTTGGCACTGAAAGTATTTGTAACACTGAGTGCACTATTAGGCTGCCATTTAAATGGGTGAAGGGGAGGCGAGGGACACAGTACCTGTTCTGTTGCTTGAACTGACTCTCTTTTAGGACTGTTTATTTTCCAGCTGTTTTGAAGTCAAGACACTTTAAAGCCTTTGCTGGGAGACATAAAATGGGAACATAGAGGGTGAGAGCTGATAAGGCCCACCTACCCAGCTTTAAAATAAATGGGTTTACTTTTAAGTTAAAGTGATCCTGTTTCTAGAACCGTTCTGCCCATAAACCCTGCATTAAAAAAGCTAAAACAAGTCTGTATGGCCTGTTGTGTTATGTCTGCATTCTTAAAATTGTTTAAAAACACATTTGCGTCCACTGTCTGCCTAATATTCCCCATTGTACGTTTAATTTCATCATTCTGGCTGGCTATTCAATTTCTATCCTTTTCATCTGTACAACACACACAACTGGCGCATGACTCTAGAAATACATGGGGATTTAGAGATACATGCCCAAAAAAAGGCCATGTGTTGATTGCTTCTACGGTAGGAATGGTAACATGTCGAATATACTGTATTGGCACTGATAAACCAGAAGTTAAAAGATTTTTATGCTTTACAGAATAATATGTTGTGATGTTAATGTAACACCATTAAAGAAGGACCGAGATAGGTGCTGTGTGATTTGGTCTTGGTGCAGCTAGAAATAATTGGGCAACAAGTTGGATGCCCTGTGACTCTGTCTTACTACTCAAAGAATAGTCAGCAATGGTGCACCAAGATGGGTAATTTACTTATCTTTCAAGAAGACAGCCACACCCCTCCCAAGTATCCGTATTTAGGAGGAACAGTCTCTATTTTGGGCCCAAATCCCTCTTTTCTATCCCAATGTCCCTGTATCAGGCTGGTGAGATAGCTCCGTGGGCTAGTGCGATACAATCTGCGACCTTTGGGGGTCGCAGGTTTAAATCCCGGCGGGGTAGATAAAATGAGTACCATTAAATTGGGTAATGGTAACATCCCCTGGATGTTGGACAAAAAGTGAAGTACTTGGAAACCAGAGTAATCTTACCTTTCCTGGTTAAATACTTTCTAAAGGACATAGTCTTAAATTAGAGGTTTAAAAATAATTTCAGGAAGTATTACTTTACTGAGAGGATAGTGGATGCATGGAATAGCCTTCCAGCTGAAGTGGTAGAGGTTAACACAGTGAGGGAGTTGAAGCATCGGTGGGATAGGCATAAGGCTATTCTAACTATAAGATTAGTATTAGGAAAGTTGGCTGAATGGTTCTTATCTGCCGTCACATTCTATGTAATGTGTCTTTAACATACAATATGTTTGTTTAGAAATCAGTTGGTGTAAATAAATTACATTTAAATGCTCTAAATTACATTTTAGTTGAATATAAATTATAAATTGTTATTAGTAAGTTACCTAACATTTCTCTGAACATCCCCACCCTGGCCACACCCCTAAAATTGAAGGGCTCCTCTTTGTTTTTTTGAAATGTTGGGAGTTCTGCAGCGACTGTGCATAATCCTGTAATGAAAACAATGGAAGCCTGCACCCAGACCACTTCATTGAGATAATGTATGGAGAACCATTAAAGGGACAATGTAGTGTCCGGAATACAAATGCATATTCCTGGCACTGTAGGTCTAAATAACTTTTAAGGCCCCCTGCCCTCCCTTGCCTCCACTTAAAAATGTGATTTTACTGACCTTTTTCCAGTGCCACGCAGGTGTGATGATGATCTCAGCCAATCCAGTGCTTTCCCATAGGAAAACATTGGAAGGCTATCGCGCATGCACAGCAAAATGCCATGGTGCACCAATCAGTACCTTCATGTAGAGATGCCTTGACTCTGAAAAGGCAGTGTTTACATTAAAATGCCTGCAGGTACATACTACACTCACCAGAAAAACTACATTAAGCTGTAGTTGTACTGGTGACTATAGTATCCCTTTAATGTACAAAAACTAGCCAGTTAGAAATGGATAGAGATATGTCTGCTTCACTATATTACTGGATAATATTTATCTTTTCCCTCAAAGCTGAAAGTCTCCAGTCTGCCCCCTGCTCGTGCTTCTATAGATCTCTACCAGAATCAATGCAAACTGATTTTCTAGATTACTAAACTCAATTGTTGCTGCAGCTGTCTTGTGTAACGCACCCCCACAAGAAATTAATTTAGGCCAAATTCATCCCTGTGTCGTGTGTCATTGGACGGCAAACGCATATCCAAAAAAGTATTAGTGTTTTATTTATAGGCTAAAGCTACTGTAATCTACCCTGTGAAACCGAAGACAGGTATGTCGTATGATAAAAACATCTAATATATTTTTAATAAATTATTTGTGAAATGTTACAGGCTGGCATTGCAGGGGGAGCTCAAAATTCCAAATAAACTCATTTGTGAAATCACTACCCTCACACAGCAATGGGAGAAGGTAGCAAGACAGGAGAAAGACCAGAGTGTCCTCAAGACAGGAAAAACCAAAGATTGAAGGAACGTGTAAGAGCAGACAGGGGAGAGACGTCAGTCACTGAGAAAGCAAATGTACAGAGCAAGACATGGATCCAATAATGTTACAGATACAAATACAGCTGAATTATGAAATGGGTAGCAAAACTAACAATTGAGTTTTATGAAGTCAAAATAGAATCTCATTGGAAAAAGAGACTTTCAGGGTTATTTACTAAAACGATAATTAACGATGTTCTTTCCACTGGGCTATTGTGGCCTTAAATTTAAAATTCACTTTGAATTCTTGCTTTGGTAAATAAACCTGTGAGCAGAGAATAATTGCAACATCAAAATTAGATACAGTTTCTTCTTGTCCTCTGGTTTGTAGACAAGCCATAGCAGAACAAAACTCTTTGACATGTCGAGCAATCCATACTGAAAGGACGTATGGTCTAAAACCAGTCAGAAACGTGAGCCCAGGAGGCAAGATCGCCCCCTGTAGTAATATGTGGAATTGCATGGAAGAAAAAAAGTTGTGGAAGTGGGTGAGTTTCTTTAAATTGGAGTAGCTTGCCAGCCTAACCCAGACAAGGGCACGTGGGCCATCCATCTAGTTTGGGAACATCACTTAGAGGATTGCAACAGGAGCTGTTAACCATATTTACGTAATCTGTTATGATTCAGATTTAAAAAAAACATAAATCTATTTTTTTTTCTGGGAAAAAACACTTTAATTAGTTTTCATCTGAAGTACAGCTACTGGAGCAAGTAGCAGCTATCCCTGCTGTTAATTAGAAGAAGGTGAGAAGTTCCAGGGATTTCTTACAAAGTAGAACATTTTAAAGGCTGTGACATATAGCTGACGATGGGTGGAATATTAATGTTGCAGTTTGTGTTCTGAATTCGATGTTCCAAGGTGGTGGGAAATGTCAGGAGAATGTGACGGGAATTTCTCTGCATTAAAGAAAATCTTAAGCTGTCAGTATTGCTGCATGCCTTCTTCAAAATGCATACACTGCCCCTTTAAATAGGAGCTTGCATACTGCATGCAGGGCAGCGGTTATTGTAATACAGCCATGCAGTGTGTCAATAAATTATTTGTATTTGAAAAAATAAAATACCATTTGTATTCTAGCAGAAGAAAGATAACCTTCATTTCACCAATTCTTTGCTTGTGATGTAAAAGTTATACCTTAAGAGACATTCACAGATTCAGAGCCATTGACCCAGCAGCAGAGGGAATTTTTTGGAATAGGTATCAGATCCACCGTATACTAAGCAACCACTTCCATTACTAGCAGATGTGTTAATCTGTACTTATGCAGTGCATAATATTTACACTGTCTACTAGCCATTGGCAAGTAAAGATTTAGCCCTGCTAAGCAGAAATTCTCCCCTGGTAAGTACGTTATATATTGCAGTAGGCATGGCTAACAGTATATGGCCCCGTATGTGTGTGTGTGTGTGATCAGACACATTAAAACTACCAGCCTAATATCATGTAGGTCCCCGTCATGCTGCAAAACAGCTCTGATGTGTCGAGGCATGGACTCCACAAGACCTCTGAAAGTGTCCTGTGGTATTTGGTACCAAGACATTAGCAGCATGTCCTTTTAAGTCCTCAGCCGGCCTGTCTTCTTCCAATAGTGCACCCTGCTGCCATTTCTTCCCCGGTAAATGACGCACCCGGTCATCCACCTGATAAAGAAGATAACGCAATTCATCAGACCAGACAATGCTAAAGGTGAATACTCTGGCTGGTCTACGGCTACACAGCAAACTGTGATGCACTCTGTGTTCTGACATCTTTCTATCATGGCCAACACTAAGTTTTTTTCAGTACTCTGAGCTACAAGAGCATTTCAGCCTTGGGCGCCCATGACCCTGGTACCGGTTCACCGGTTGTCCTTCCTTGCACAATTTTTGGTAGGACTAACTAGTGCATACTGGGAACACCCCACCACTGGGGGAGCTGCAGTAGAAAGGGCAGTGGTGCAAGATTTTTGGGGGGCCCTCCCCCTCCCTATCCCAAGAATTGAAAAGAAGGTAGAACCCTGTCTGTTGTTTTACTCCCACAATGCATTGCCAGCTGGGCATCTACCATTTGCACATGTTGTATTTAGCACTGACTAGAGTTTATATGTGTGAATGTAGACATGTTTTGTATGGAGTATGTGTGTATGAATGTAGAGGTGTATTTGTGTATAGAGTTGTGTTGTGTTTTTATGTATTGTTGCCATTTGAAAGCCATGGTTTGCTATTGTGTACTATTTGCCTTTGTATGTAGTGGTGTGTCTGTATAAAGTGTTGAGGTATGAACGTAGGGCTGTATTTGTGTGTAATGGAGTTTGAATGCAGAGATGTATGCACATATACACTGCCACAGACACATACACACACTGATTCACATAGACACACATATACACAGACATACATAGACACACATCCAGATACATAGACACACAGACACACAGATAAACACACTGACACACATACAGGTGCAAACACTAACACACATGACACGCAGGGACAGACATGCAGATACACAGACACACAGACAGATACAGAGATGCACAGATATACACACTAACACACATACACACACTAATACACATACAGACACACAGGTACACATGACACACATGCAAAGACAGACACACAGATACACTTGGGCACATATTGATACACATACAGACACACTAATAGATACACAGATACAAGCACACAAAATAGATACACAGACACACATACAAACTTACAAAATAGATACACTGACACAAATACAAACACACAAAATAGATACACAGACACACATACAAACACAAATGCAAAATGTAGACATTTTAAGCCATCTACCTGTTTTCTACCTTGAGTGCAGGAGAGTGTTTTCCCTGGGAACCATGCTGCTGGCTGAGGCTGTAGGGAGTCAGTGACTCTGTGTTATCTGGGAGGAATTGACCGGCTTTCACTTCTTCCCAGCATTGAAAAGATTACAGGGTCATCCGGGCTCCTGAAAACACTTTGCAATCTGGTGGCCCTAAGTGATTGGACCTCCCAATGGGCTCCCTGAGCATGCGGGGCCCCCAGTGCAGCCGCAGTGGCTGCACCGGTGATAATTTTGCTGCTGCACCCTATGAAGCTTGCCATTTTGCAGATGCTCTGATCCAGTCATCTAGCCATCAATATTTGGCCCTTGTCAAAGTCACTCAGATCTTTTCGTTTGCCCATTTTTCCTGCTCCAACACATGAATTTCCCTTCACATATCCCATTGCAGCGATATAATCTAAAATGCTATTCACTTCATCTTTCAGTGGTTTTAATGTTGTGGCTGATCAGTGTATATATTATTATTAATTATATAGCGCCATCAGATTCTGTAGCGCTGTACAATGGGTATATACAGCCATACATGAAATTGCTCTACTTCAAAGGATTAGAACTAACAAATATGTGGTGATTTTTTTGCTCACACACATAAACTGCACCTAAGCTTCAGGACTGGCTAATTTGGGCATTAGCTGGGACTCCATGTACCTCTTGAGTACAATAATATAATATTGACATATTAATTTTTTATATATATATATATATATATATATATATATACTTATTTTTTTTTAAATGCATTTGCTTCTCTAGCACTCAAAGGGTTAATGGTCAGCCATGCTACACACACTAGACTAATATAGGGCCCCCATAATGTGTCACTCGATGCCGGAGGGGAAATATCTTGTCACTGGAAAGACAGCTGCCCCGAGCCCGAACCTCTAAGGGGTAGCAACAACAGCAAAGTAAGGCTCATAAAAATATCCATCTGTGCTTAAAGACAAACAAAGCATTAATAGAGCAAGGCTCGGCTTAAAGCATATTACAGGCACATTTAATGAGAGGACACATCTGTTGAGATCGAGGGTCTCTGCATTAAGATCTATGATGGGACTTTAATAAGCCGTTCAGACCCATGCAGGAGAATGAGACTGGGAGCTCTGATTCCAGGGCAAAAAGGTTAAAATACCAACCCCCCCCCCCCAAATCACTCGTTCTTAACATGCTCAGAATTAAATAGCACAAAAACCAACTAAATGGAATGTCCGAGGCGAGCATTCCATTGTAGAACCATAGGCATTTTGTTTTTACCAAACCAAAATCTGCAATGCCATTTCTCACAGTCACTACTCTCAAAATAATTCTGGGACTGTGTACTGGGAACCAGAGATCAGCGGAGAGTGAAGAGGCGGCCATATTAAGGTCCTCCATTCTTTAGATTAGAATTTAGTCTAAATTATGTCGGGGTTATTCTTTAAACACAGTTGAACGATGTAATCTGCGGACAGTATCCAAATACAAACCATGACCACATCAGCAATTCATTAAATGCCAATTGATTGCCTATTTTGCAGGAATTTGCTGTTGTTTCGATGAGGTTCAATTAAAAATTAAAGCAAATCGATAAGAACTGTACCTGTTTTATCACCAGTTGGTTTATAAACCAACTGTCCCTGAATTGGTCTACTACAAGGAATTCAATGTCAGATTCAGGGATATTTTTTAATACTCCTTGAGAAATCAAACTTAAATAACCAAAAGTCCTCCTAGCTGCAAAATAATATATCTTTAAAAAAAAAAAAAATATTAAAATGGTCTCTAGGATTCTCTATTACCCATGGGGGCAAGCAAATGACCATCTCCAATCCTTCACTCTATGTGCCTCTTTACTCCTTTCTCATCCCAATGGATGTGCAGCTGGATCTTATTGAGCACAGTGGTCCCTGAGTCCACCAAAGTGCCATCACCTATTGTCACTTACCTGAATGCCATCTCCTCTCCAAATAGAGGGCCCCCTTCCTCTGGAATAAGTGCCTCCTAAACAAATATAGAACAATGACGTCGATACTTTCCTACCTACATACCTAGATGTATGCATGCATGAAGGCAACGTTGCTTTAATGTTAACTCCAATAAAAAAACATAAAATAAAGGTTTAATTAATATATCAATAAATACTTTACAATATCCAGCATACTCAGACAACGCAAAGTCCTGCCCATGAAATAGACACCCATTAACTCAAATAATCTGAGTTGAAGAGTTTTTGTAAAGACTTCCAATCTTGTCTATGTTTTTTTAATTTTCCTGTTTAGCAAATAAATCCAACAGAGCCATGCTTATGTAGTTTATTTTCAATTTATTTCAAGAAACACAAATGTATGAAAAATGAAGAAAATGACAGGTAGGAGGGCATGGCCTGACTGCCTAACATGACACACAAGACTTCTCTAAGGTCCAGTGACTTACCCTATGAATCCAGCACCATCATTGATGTATGTTTTGAAGCTTCTGAGAGTGTTTCATTGTAAGCCTTTCTGAGACAAATCTAAGAAAATCTCTATTGCTCCACTTTGCACACTACATCGCCCTCTGCTTGTTTGAGGTCTGTGTACCTGAGGTACCCCTATTTGTCTCCACACCTGACTTGGGCCAACACATACCTTCTGCCTCGACTATGGAATGGACTATAACTTCATGTGGCTCTTTCTTTAATGCCTGCAAGGATTCCTTTTGCCTCTCTGGAGAGCTTCTCCTAACTAAAACCAATTTCATATGGAGGTATTTGGACTCCTAGCTCTTTAATATCATATGGCCAGAACAGGGCTTCAGGAAGATGTAACCTTTCCGCAAGAGCAGTGGTTTCCAAACCAGTCCTCATGGCCCAACAAATGACCAAGATTTATGCATTTTCCTTTTTTATTCCAATGGCGACACTGACAAACTTGGACTGTTGGTGGGCCATGCGGACTGGTTTAGGAAACACTGCTTTAGAGTATATTTTAGTGGAGTGGGTGAGGGTGTACAATGGGTGGGGGCTGTTCTGAATAAATGTTAGGGGATTTACTAATATTTTTTGCAACTTAAATGCAATTTAGAACAAGAACAATGTATCTTATTTACACAGACTGATTTCTAAACACA